TTTGCCATTTCTGCGGCGGTTTCTTCCACTTGAATGTCAGCTCCGTAAGTGCGGTTGTTAGCAATGAAGTAGCGGGGTCCGGGATAGCTCGGTGAGAGGGCAGAGAGGAGACAAAGATTTTCTCCCTTCCTGATCATCTGTGGGTTGTAAATATGGGGAAGAAGAAGTGTGAAAATCTGTGGACGGCTTTGTCCACATATATATATGCCGGCGATGTACTGAGGTCCGCCTGGTTACCTGATTTCCGTCGACCACCATCAACTTGATCTAGAGCAAGCAGCTTGGGCGGTGACCTTTGACCTTTATCTTATCCCTGGGAGCCTGTGGAGGCTAGAGTAGCTGAAGTGAAGATATGTTACCTTTGGGTGACACACTGGAAATGCCAACTCCTTCCCATTCAATATCAGGCACAAAAAAATGCAGTGGTAGGACCTTGAGGACCCCGACAGAACGCCGTAGCACTGCCGAGACGCCGTCGACGGTTGGCTATTAATATTATGCTGGCGGTCGTGGGAAAGTTGAAGAAAGTTGAACTTGGAAGATGCCGGGGGATATTTTGTTATTATCGTGCCCGATGGGTCTGAATCCTCCCTGTGGTCCTGAATTTGAATTTTATCTTTTTAAAAAATTAAGAAATCTCTTCGGTGTTTTTCGGAAAGGGTACCGACACATCCTCTTCTGCTCTCTGTAAATTTACGAAGGGATTGGAGTCGAGGAAGTGGACGAACCTTCATCGAAGAAATTTGATCCCAAAATTTGTTAGAATGATGGTTTGATCCCACTTCTTCGCTTTGCGCTGTCTCCTACACCCGCCCGTGCCCCCCAATCACTTCATTATTTTTTGTATACAACGAGAATATGTACCGGTATCCATCCCAAAAAAAACCGAAGCAATTAAAGCTCTAGAAAAAACATGAAAAATGAAATTCAGCTAGACAGGGAGGATTCAGACCCATAGGGCACGATAGTAGCCGTTTCAACTGAGTAAGTTCAACTTGAACCCGTTTCTGTTCTGCACGGTATAGTGAGACTCGCAATTTAACTATTCTCATACTATCCTATGGATCTCCGAGACTAGGACTCGGCGAAGTAAGAGAATCGGCACTACGTCTAATTTTTCTTTCCTTTCAGCAACGGTGGAGAGCTGGACTTCTTTGTGTCATTGGTCAAAATAATTAGATGGTTTTGGATTCGACAGCATGTATGCTGGCTCGGCCCTGGCGTGATATTGGCCGATTGAGCGGGATTGAGCCGAGCCAAAATTATAACTGAACCACCTGACTGTGCTCAATGGCTTGGCTCCGGCTCAAGCCGGCTATGTGACAGCTCAGTGGTAGCTTCGAACGAGCCTGTGGTGCCTTTCCTTCCAGTGGCCTTCAAGGTGTTTCTATATCGTCATGATCTACGCTGTCGACTATGGCTCTCGACCATTCATTCCATCGACTCCAATCCAACTTCGGACTTCGTACATTTCGAATCTGGACTAAAATACAATGCTCTTCGCAGATGACAATCAGTAAATCGGAGCGGTGCCAAGCCCTTCCACGAATCACCTGGCCTAACCCAGGACTGTAAGGCGCGGGCAGTGTCCTCTCTCCTGGGGACGTGCGCAACATTGTCAAGTATTCAATTGAGAGCAGAGATTCCCGCTTATGCGAACACATGTACAGCGGCTTACCACCCAGGGGCACGAAATGCTGTTGCTCATAAATGCGGATTCATCACCGGAATACTAACTTTGCGCTGAGAAGATTTCCATTTATCTTGCTGTCCAACAGTCCAATTATGAGTGTGGGACAAGCGGCATGATAAGTGTGGGAGAAACTGTAAGCAGGCAGGCAGGCATGTAGCCGTTCATCACGCCCTGAAACTGTTATCACCGCGAGGAGTGCGGATGAAGGTCGGACGTGCTTTACTGGTCAACAAATTAGTTACCATCCTTCCTAGCTTGTAGTTCCTTCATCTTGCTGCTCTATTGTAGCGTCGGGCCCAGGAGCCAGCAAGGAAAGAATGTCTCCAGACGCACGGTTTGCTGTTCTCTGTGAGCCAACACATTGATTATCTCACAATTTCTTTCTCAGCACCTGGCTTCAAAAGCCTGTGTGGTATCGGATACCTGAATTGCTCATAGGTTGCCTATTTTTCCTGGCCATCCTGATGCACTTGGTCCAACTGTTTTTCTACAATGGGAACTGGCCGGATAAATTCACTGGGCAGGCTCCTGCCAAACCTTCGCAGAGGGTTCTTGTCAGCACAGCCTTATTCGGCGACCCTCTGGACTCCGGAAATTCGTGGATTGCAGAAAACGAGCGCACAATCAAGGCCCTTTTTAGTTGCATCGAGGAATTAAATTGTGGGCCGAACCAACAGCATGGTAGGCTACGCCGTCTCCCATTCAAGACCAAATGTCTTATTTCATTGTTGAGTGGTAATTCTTGGTGCATCACCCTTCCGTGGCGTATTGGGTAGTGAAAACGGCGGCGAAGCTATCTGGGCCAATTCCACGGTTCGATCTTTCTATCTGTTGGGCTCTTTGTCTCTGACTAGCAGTCCAGATCCTGGCGCTAAAGAACCTTGGGTACAGCTATCTTTACTCTCTCAACATGGAGAGAACTATGCAGTTGTACTACATGTTCCGAGAACTTGTTCTCTCAATTCTCCTCGACGCCTCGGACACCCAGTCTTGCTTTCAAGATCACGAATGCATACTTATGGGACACAAACCGTACGGTATTCCCGCATAGAAGTTATTTCATTCCATTTTTGGGATTCAGTAAGATTCAAATTATCACATTTTTCTTTCTCACCTGTCTTGCAGCCCAAGAACCCATTAGGACCAAAGTGGACACTCAGCCCAGAAGAGGTGAGTTTTTCTGCTAGCAAGTGTAAATCTTCGATTAATCGGAAACCAGTATAAAAGTCGGTTGAAATTGGCACAAAACAATACATTAATTCATGTGCTATCAACAGAGTCCGGAAATAACTACCTCGGATATAGTGTTGAACCTCAGTGCAAAATGCAACGATTTATTCCTCATTCAGAGAGGAGGCCGCAGATCTACATTCTAGCAAAGAATGCAGGTTATTTTAACCCGAAGGATCGCAGCTGGGATCCAGAGTATTTCGACCTAGCCTCTGCTGCTTCCGGTGTTGACTTTTTGGCTGGGGTTCGGGAGTCAAAATTGCCCGAATACTTCCCCCAAAACGTTACGAACATCGGTTTCATGTCTCAAATGCAATTCTACGGAGTGCATTTGGGAGTTCAGATTAACGGTGCACCGGTACACCGGCGGTGATGATCGGGAGGGTTCACAGCCACTTTGATGCAGCGGAGCTTCAATCTTTTGTGATGTGATGGGGCTATGCCCGCTAAAATAAACAATGTACAAACAAGTGCGTCTTGTGATAATGTCCGCCCACGACGCGTCTGAAGCCTCCATTGACGCGCCACAACAGCTGCGGAGCCTCTCGCTAAAGAGTCGCGGAGGACATGTGATGTCTGCAAGGATGTCGTCGAACGAGAGGTGCCAGGGGTCGGCGGGCTGTTGGCGAGGGAGTGGCGGGGGAGGGACAGCGATGCTCAGGCTGTTTGGCACTGAGGAGTTCTGAGGACATGTCGTGCCAGTTTGCAAGGACCGGCGGCGTTACAATGCTTGCGGCACATACGCCGTGAGCACGCCAGGTCGATTCGGGTGCTCTTGCATTGTCCGCCTTCTCTAGTGGTTCCGAACACAGCGGCGGGGCTCGCCAGGGGTCGCGCGGGGCTTGCCAGAGCTCGCCATGGACGGTACACGAGCGACTTGGGAGGGCGGGGGCAGAGCTGGCGCTGGCGTGGGCGGGAGGAGGGGCCATTGCGGAAGAAGGAAGGACGAGGGACGGAATGAAGGAGGGAGGGAGGACGCGACGGTAAAAGGAGGGCTGTGTTTGGTATTGACATCCCCCTACAAACACAATTGAATGTCCGCTTCGGGCTGCCGCGTTGCCGCCGGTGAACACAGCCTCCCGGTATTCCGTTAATCTGAGCTCCCAAACTTTGTGATTCTACGAGACCCTAGCTAGCTCTGTGTTACTTGTCGGAATCGGCGGTCCCTCCACGTACGCATTGCTCTGAGAGATCCATTCTACCTCATAACATATCTTGCCAGCTCTCCGACCCCATATGACGCATTATGTCTAGGGGTACCTTTTTTAAATCCAGTCTCCCGAGTACGTATTACGTCTCTCGGGTTTGTTCCATTCAGCCAGCAGTTTACATAGTGGGATGTCAATAATCCGAAAGACCGAACACAATGGAATGCACAGCATGGGACATTGAAGTACCTGGATCCTCCCTACGTTTACAATGTATTCAAGGGGGACAAAGATGGCTTTCTTCGAGCCGTCGCTGATGCCATTGCCCATCCAATAGAAAGGTCTGTATTATGGGTTCAAATCAATATCTCTGCTAAAGCGCGATTCAAGCTTCATTTTGGATACAATGCGAATGAGCTCCGTGGAAAATCGACTTGCAGCCATCCTCGAGACCGAGTGGAAGAAGGAAGCAGCTGCTCTTCTTGCAGAACGCCAGGCTTCTGGAATGGGGCCTGTGAGTTCCACCTACTCCCCGCATTCTAAAAATTTACAGAAAGCATAACAGCTCTTCTCTCTGTGAAACAAGTGGCTATCTGTATAGTTCGCGAGGCGCTCATGCTCATCCAAGTCGCACGAGGACTGAGAAAATGATACGAAACAACTGAAGACCTGACAAAATAACAGAGATGGAATCGAGAAAGGTATCACACTGATTTCCTATACATGAATCCCCTCCGTCTTGGAGCTGGGAGTGTTTCAATAGAAATCTTAACCCGGAATCTAAGCTAAGCTGGCTTAAGCCGTATAATATTTATCCCGAGGTTCTTGCTCGAATCAAGGTGCTGCTCTTCTCGCCTGGTTCGACTTTTTTTTGCTTCTCCTATAATTTTCTTGTCCCTATTCTGCCGGGTTAAGAAGGAGGGAATGAAAGCAGTATGGTGTATGGTGCACACGGGGTATTATTACTGTCCCGGTAGCCTCTCAGATAGTTTACCTCGAGGTCCTTGTTCGAGTCAAGGTACTGTTATGTTACCTTTCTCACCTGCCCTTTTCTCTATCCGCCCATTATTTTTTCTTCCACTCAGCCTCGTTCAAAAGATGAGAATAAAGGCAGTATGCTGTGGCCTTACTAAATAGTTTGGAAGATGAGTTACTTACCCCGAAGTCCTTGTGCTCCTCTATTTGTTTTTTCAACTTCTTTTATCTATCCTCCCACTAATTTTCATTCCACACTCAGCCGGGTCAAAAAGGTAGGAATAGAAGCAGTATGGTGTATGGTGCACATGGGGCATGATTGGCGAGTTTTGAAATGGGTAGCTTGTAATTTACCCTGAGGTCCTTATTTGAATCAAGGTGCTGCTTTGTGTATCTCTTGAACCTTTTTTCCTACCCACTTACTGATTTTCCTCCACACTCAGCCAGGGTAAGAATGTAGGTATAAAAGCAGTATGGCGTCATGATGCACACGGGTGTTATTGGACACATCGCTGCCCATTGGTTTACCCGGAGGTCTTTGTTCGAATCAAGGTCCTGCTATGCGCTGCTCTTATCACCTAGCCTTTTTTTTTCATCCTCCTGCTAATTTTTACACTCACTCATCCGCGAAATGTAGATATGAAAGCCGTATGGTGCATGGTACACATCGCAAGGCTCACCTCCAAACCAAGGTACTGCTCTTCAGAGATAGCTTTGAAATTGTCTTTTTCCTCCTCCTCCCATGACTTTTCCTTGCACACTCAGCCGGGTTAAGGAGGTAGCACTCGAAGCAGTGTGGTGTAATAATGCACACGGGATATTATTTGCATCCCTTGAATCAGTACCGGCATTCCATTTTTTTATCTTCCTACTAATTTTCTTCCTTGTCGAAACTGTCGACTCAGAATGACGTCGACGTTTCCGCTGATCTGGGTTCGTCCGTGCGAGAGCGTGGAGAATCCATGATTATTTATTTACTGGTTTAACCATTCTATTCTTTTTCTAGGGGGGGGGGATATATTATACTTGCGTGGTCCACAACATGAACAACGAGTTTACAGAAGACAAACAAGTAGTACTATTAGGGTGTTTATCCTTCTAGAAATCTGCAAGATGTCAACTGAGCACAACACCATTCCAGGGGATCAATCACACAAGACGCTGGCCAAACTGTGACTGGCCGGCCATTCAGCGGGACCTCTGGTTATAACCTCGTGGGAGCTGACCACAAGCCAAAGGCGCAAGTGTACAGGAGGAGGGTCCCTCCTCCCAGGCAAAATTCCTCGGAATCCACCAGTCAACAGAAGGCTGTCGTATGTCTTCCCTTTGCATAGTGCATGCGAGACCCATAGAGATGGGCCTCCATTTTGTGTTAATGGCTCGGAGGCGGAGTAGGTCCGCGTCTACATTTAGTTTGCAAGAGTGTGTGTATGCAGAGGATGCTGGTTCGATTCCGGCTCGAGCCTTCCAATAGCGATTGCAGCTTTTATTCATACTTCTTTTTTTTTCTAAACTCCACTTGACCATGCTTCCCTATTTTCGAGGAACGACCACAGGTACAGGCTTCTGCTCATTCAAGTGGAGCTCCTCAACCGAACTCGCACCTCCGTGAATCAATTTCGTGTGTATTTTGAAATGGGCATTTTGTCCTCCTTGGATTTTGGTCTCGTACCTACACATGCACAGAATGTAGTTATAGAAGCAATATGGTGTAATGATGAGGGGGTATATTATGTTATATGTTCCGTACGGAGAGACTCGGAATATATGGAAGGCGGAGGGAAAAAGTGTATTTTTATTTTATGCGGCTACGAAATGGTGTTGGCGCCTAAAGAAGCGCTGCGGTGCGGATCTGGGGCCGTTGTCTGGTGTTAATTAATTAAGTCCATTGTGGAGGGAGAGGTATGGCTGGAAAGGCACGAGGTATGGCTACGGACGGGCGCGGAAAGGTACGCTGGGAGAGTTATCGATGCGGGAGCGCGGAACGTTTGTATTTTTATTTTTGTGCAGCGGCATGGCGTGACGGTGCGCTGTCGCCGTCGTCTTGATTACTTTACTTAGCAGTGGATGAGGGTGTTAATTAATTAATTAAATCAACTTTGGAGGGAGGTACGGATGTGGGGAAAGGTACGCTGAGAGAGGAAAGGTACGAGGTACAACAGGCGGGTGCGGAAAGCGAGCGGAAAAGGCATGCCGGGAGAGGTCCGAACAAGTGGGTGGGCTGACTCGGCGTCGGATATAACTTCGGATAAAACGATGCGATACGTGGCGCAGACCGCCGGGCAGTGAGGAAGGCTGTAAGTAATATCACGGTGCTGCCGTGTGCGTGGGCCCCATGTATGTATATTATTAGAGGATGGGTCATAGTAGTACATAAGAAAAAGGCTCGGTTGATTTTGTGATTTTTTGAGTGCGTATGTAAGCGTGTTTTTACTTTTGGAAGCTACCTGTCTTGCCACGGCCCGGTAGCACGCATCTGTTTTTAATTGTGATTTCTGCGATGGTTCTGCAGACTTCGAATCCAATTTTTGGGCATGTGTTTACTTCCAAAGTTGAATGTTGAATAAATACTCATGAGATCTGACATTTACGGCCCTGTAGCACAGTCTGCCCAAAATAAACAAGGGTATATAGAATTTATGCAGATGACACGCCCGTCCAACTCATTGGTATTGTACCAATTTTTTTTTTCCGGGTCTCTCACTTGTTTAAAAATACATCATTGTAGGCTGGTCAGAACGCGGCGGCTCGGAGGCGGAGTGCGTCTGCATCTAATCTGTGAATTTTGCGCGCGCAAATGGTTCCGTGTGTTTTATTTTCGGACATGTCATGCTGATCAGTATCTTACTATGGCCTGGTGGCACAGCGTTAGTGCACCTGTATATAATCAAAGTTGCGAACAGTTTATGCAGATGATGCTGGTTCGAGTCCGGCTTGGGTCCTATTCTTCTGGAGTTGTCTTTTTTTTGTACGTGCATTTTCTTTTTGGTTCAATTACTCCTATCGTGTCATGTCTCTTAAACGACCCGGTGACACAGCGGTAGTGCATCTGCTTGCAATATTGAAGTGGCAAAATAGTAGGCGGACAACGTTGGTTCAAGTCCGGCTGGGCCTTAGTTGGTTTTTGAATATTTTTTGCGGGGTCTACATTTCCTTCATTCATGTCGGGCATTAGGAGCACGGTTCAGAGTCCATCTAATCTTGCGCATTTTGCGTATTTTGCGCGCGTTTATTTTCGGAAGCTGAATTACTCACATGTTATGTTAATATCGATATCTTATTGGCACAGTGGTTGTGCATTTGCATATAATTATCCGTTGACCGACTCAGTATGCAGACGACGCCGGTATTCGGGTGGAGTGTTTTTTTTGTACGTGCATTTTCTTTTGTAATATCATGTCATGTCACGGCCCGGTGGCACAGTGGTGGTGCATCTGCATGTAATGCAGGTCAAGTCAATTACATTTTATGCAGGCGACGTCGGTTCGATTCCGGCCTGGGCCTTGGAATTTGAGCTTTGGGTTTTTTTTTTGGAGGGGGCCTTTCTCTTTTATTATTCGTAGCAGGGACGGTGGTGGGATATTCGAGTACATATGTAGATGGGGCGTGGAGCCTTCGTATTCATATTTCTTTCTACGATATAGTGTTGGCGCCTGAAGAAGCGCTGCGGTTCGGATGTGTTAATTAATTGATCAATTAAGTCCATTATGGAGGGAGAGGTACGGCTGGAAAAGCACGAGGTACAGCTACGGACGGGTGTGGAAAGGTACGCTGGGAGAGGTACCAAGGAGCGTTTGTATTTTTATTTTATGCAGCGGCATGGCGTGGTACCTGCGGATCCGGAGCTGTCGCCCGTCGCCGCCGTCTTGATTACATTACTTAGAAGCAGTGGATGAGGGTGTTAATTACAGCTCTTTGCGGTACAACAGGCGCGGACCGTTTTTTTCCATTTTGGGCATTTTTTGATCATTTTTTGATCGAACACTCCCTCTGCTCTCAATTCTGGTCTGTTTACCCTAAAAGTAGGATCATTCGAACGGCATTGAAAAGGGCAGAACAGCTATTCTAGTGGGAAATTCTCAGAAAAGTCACCAAAAATCCGATTTCATGGCTCAAGAAGCAGCTTCCAATGCAAGACAGGAAATTTTAGGAGGTCATTGTCTGCGCATTTTCAATGCCGTTCGAATAATCCTACTTTTAAGGTAAACGGACCAGAATTGAGAGCAGAGGGAGTGTTCGATCAAAAAACGATTAAAAAATGCCCAAAATGGAAAAAAACGGTCTGCGCCTGTTAGGGCGCTGTTTATAATTCGTCGGGCATATATTAACGGTTTATAAATTTTGGTTTATAAACAGGGCGTTTATAAACCGGTTTATAAACACCGAGTCCCAAATCGGCTAAAAAACGAGTGATTCCACCTCTCCTGTCCACGTAAGGTCCCCAGCTGCTCTTCTACTATCCTCTGCACCGGCTGCTGCCCGCCCTGACCAGTCTGAAATACTTCCGATCTCGTTTTGCGCCCGCGACCGGCTTATCCGAGAGCACATCACGGAAAAAGGGCATCGTGATATCCACGCCATCGCGCTGGAAGTCGATTGTCGTATCCGCAACCTGTGAGAGAGTGGGAGTGGTTGTAGCGCCGGAATCCACGAGATTAACGGCAGCAAGGCCAGCTTCGCATGCGGCCGTGATCTCGATGGTAGGGGGTTTCTCGGAGTTCTCGTCGGTGGTGATTATCTCTCGGATAATAACGGGCAGCAACAGGAAAGTAGAAATGAAGGAAAGAATGAACGGCGGGGACCTGGTAGCAAAGTGCGCCACAAAGCAGGACACGAAAGTTTTTTTTTGGCATGGTGATCCGCGACCGGTCCGGGCTCGGCTATATTTAAAAACCGGTACTTTGGACCCGACGATATATAAACCGGTGTTTAAAACAATGTTTACAAACCGGATTAATAAACAGCGCCCTAGCGCCTGTTGTACCACAAAGAGCTGTAAGCAAAATCTTACGTACGCGGTGCTACCGTGTGCGTGGGCCAGGTGTATATTATTGGAGGATGGTCGTGGTAGGCTCGGTTGATTTTTTGCGATTTTTTTGAGCGCGTATGTAAGGGTATTTTTACGGAAGCTACCTGTCTTGCCACGGCCCGGGTAGTGCATCTGCTTTTAATTGGATTTCTTTCAACTTTGATGTCGAGTCCGGCCTGGGTGCCAATTTTTGGGCATGGGTTTCTTCCGAAGTTGAATATTTAATAAATACTCATGAGATTTGACACTTACGGTTCTATAGCACAGTCTGCCCAAAATAAACAAGGGTACTTATATAGAACTTATGCAGATGATGCCCGTCCAACTCATTGATATTATACCATGGCCAAACATTCTTTTTACGGGTCTTTTATTCCTAGGTCTCTCACTTCTTTAAAAATATATTATATATGTAGGGCATCAGCATCTACTTATGTGTGCGCAAATGGTTCTGTGCATTTTATCTTTGGACACATTACTCACATTTCCTAGTAGTAGTATGGCTCGGTGGCACAGTGGGAGTGCATCTGTATATCATCTGTAAAGCTTGGTTGAGTATGCAGACGATGCTGGTTTAAGTCCGGTCTGGGCCATATTCGGGTAGGCCCGGTTTTTTTGTACGCGCATTTTCTTTTTGGTTCAATTATGTATTTCTATCGTGTCATAGTCGATACCTTACGGCCCGATGGTACAGCGATAGTGCATCTGCTTTGACTATCGCACTTTCCGCCACAACGTGGCATCTGAATGCGGCAATTTGATGGCGGCAGGAACGGCAAGCGAGAGTTTGCCGGAGACATGCCGGTTGACTCGTACAAGAGCAAAACTAGTTTCTGCAGGTTTCTGCTTGACGAAAAGTCTCCAGTAAGAAGGAAATAATCAATTATATCAATGTCAGTGCACATTTACAGGCACAGGGAGAACACTACTGGATGACTTTCCATGGCGGTTTAAATAGTCTGGGGACTATCCGAGCTTCTTTGAGAGTGCCAGTGATTGCATCAAAGTATTTATTTGCACATTTGCTACGGGAAACACACAGGAACCATTTTTAAAAGTTGAAGCCACATATCCAACAATTATAGCTTTGGGCTTGGCCCGTTATTAACCGGGCGCTCAAGGATGAGGGCGGCGACGATCCACTCACATTGTGCGAGCAGTGTCTGCCACAGGCGCGTGACTGTGTCTGCACGACGGCGCACCAGCAGCCTGCGGGCAGCGACGAGGAGCGCGGTCACGAGGCGCAGCACGGGGTGCGACACGAGCCCCGGGGAGAGCATAAGCAACGCGGGATGAACCACGCAAAGTCGTGTTTGTGCTGCATGCCGCCAGAGACTTGTGTTAATAGGGCATCGAGGCCGGTGTTGAGCGTGAGAGTGGAGGCGTGGGGCGGGCTTAGCAGTGTGGGCGAGCAGTAGCAGGGCGGGGCGTCGGCGGCCCGGAGAAAGGCACGTAAGACCAGGCGGGAGGGCGGGTCGTTGTGATCCCGAAGGAGCGCAAGGGCGGCGGGAGCGTCAGCACGGGCAATCAGGCGGCACAGGCGGCGGGCAAGAACGTGGGGAGCGGTGGCGGGAGGGCGGAGGAGGGCGGGCTGCAGGCAGGGCGGGCCAGGACGAGTGCCGCAGTGATGCTGTGGCTACTTGAGAGGGTTACACAGGGATTCTGGTGAGCAACAGACACTTGTGCATAAATGGTCGCTAGAGGGAACCAGGGCTGTATCTTGGTGCAGCATGGAACGAGCATGAAGAGCAAACGACGGAGGCCAGTGTGACAAGGTGTGACAATAGCCGAGTTTGCCAGCGCTGGCAAATTTGACAAGAGGGATCTTTGGGAGGAGGAGGAGGATGTATTACCGGAGCATTGGCCTAAACCGTTTAATTGAGAAATGAAGTGGTTATTAAAATCTGTACAGGGGGTCCCTACCCCCTCTACAGATTTCTACAGATTCGCGTTAAAATCCATCCATTTTGAGGTGATGGCTTTTCCGGGGTCCTGACAGCTGTCTCGGCATCGCAGCCGTAAAAGCTCGGATAGTCCCCAGACTATTTAAACCGCCATGGAAAGTCATCCACTGGCACCAATATGTATATGTAGAACAGTAGATGTGGGTAGAATAGATATTGAGAGTGCATTTTCTTTTGGTTTAATCACTCCTATTGTGTCATGTCGATATCTTACCACGGCCTGGTGGCACAGTGGTAGTGCATCTGCTTGCAATATTGAAGTGACAAAACAGTAGGCGGACAATGTCGGTTTGAGTCCGGCCTGGACCCTATTCTTGTGGAGTTTTTTTTTTCTTGTACGTCCATTTTCTTTTGGTTTAGTTACTCCTATTGTGTCACAGTCAATACTTTATGGCCTGGTGGCACAGCGGTAGTGCATCTGCATACAATACATTGAAATGATAGAACAGTGTGCAGACGATGCTGGTTCGAGTCCGGCCTGGGCCTTGAGTTACGAGTACTTATGTAATAAGTGATCGTTTCTTTAAAATCCGAGGGGAGCCCGATTTCCGGACTTTTCATTTCAAACGCTCGAAACGTTGAGGGACTTCTTTGGGGCTGTGCTAATAAATCTAGTGGCTGTGCCCAGAAACCCTTCATTTTTTTGAAATGTTTCTAGTGGCTGTAATGTTTATTCTTATTGATTGTGGATCAAACCCTGAGTCAGCCAGGAACAACAAACTTTTTCATTCCCTTTTCGTGCGAGGCATCGGTCCCGAAGTTATTGATGTCTGTTATGAACCCTGTCGGCATCTCTCGGCTTATCTTCTCTTTTTTCTGATTTGCGTCATCGGCACTTTTTGCTATCTACGCCCATCTCCTGTTTTTCTCTGTAGATTGTAACCTTAATGTTGGAGCCACTGGTTCATTCTATAATATAGTTAATTCCTGTATTGAACACTTCAACTGTATGATCCCAAAGCGGTGTTTATGTATTAGCACTGGCTGGCCAAATGTCAGCGCTCTTTGAGTCTTTTAGCCTCTCTAACTAGTTCTCTTGAAACCGTCTTGACACTGTCGATACCATTTTCACTTCAGGTGCCTTAACAATCGAATGTAACGATTTCTTACCTGATTAGGTACACTGTTATCACCACAAGTATTACCACACATATCCTACATTTTGTCAGTCAGCGTCTTCACTTTCCCATTCACACTCACTCATAGCACAATGTAACTGTGTCCGATACCTTCTTCCACCATCTTTGGCATCTCTTCCTCTTGTTTTCGTCCTTGTCCATCTGTGCAACGTGTAGCATCCACCTGCAAAGGTCCTGAATAGCCATTTGCCTGGTATAACGTGGATGTGTGGTATGAACTAACTCGTGGTTGAATTTATGAGCATGAGGTCAGTGTAGTTATACTTACCTTGACGAAAGTCTCTGGGCATGTACCATTCAACTAGAGCCATATCCTCCACTTGAATTTTAGTCATCTGTGGCTGTGATGTCCGGTGCGCACTTTACCATCACAATTTGATGGTAAAGTGCGCACCATGCCTTTTTACAGGCCCAACCACCAACTATGGTGTTATTTTGAATGCAAGGATCTGTTGCAGAAGACATTTCAAGGTGTTCTATGAAGCCAAAATTGAGAAAAGACATTTTCTGGGCTTATAAAGCCAACAATGAAATTGCCACCAAAATTCGTTCTGCTGCCCCAAATCTACTTGGTCCTGGACAGTTCCTGCGCAGAACATTGCTATTGGCATCAATACAAATAATCCGGATGATTCAGTATTTAAATTCACCGTGGATCTTGCATCCTATGCAAGAATCCAGCAGACACGATCAACAGGAATTCAGTTGTTGTAAGAGGCTTCAGGTACTGAATCTGAAAGGTTTGTATGGTCGCCGTATCCTGGAAGATTATTTCCATTGTGAATGGCCTCTTGTGTTGGATTCCGCCCTTGAATAAAGGCATGTGAGCCACTCTGGCCACCTGATCATTGTATTGACCGTTATGGTAACAAGCCGCATTCCTGACAACGAGATCAAGAGCTTTTCCTTTTAACCTGGGTTGCATAAGCCATTGGCCAGGTGCGTATCCCTGCATTTAAGGGTGATCGTCTATCTTGTGGAAGAAAACGGGTGGCGCAACATCATCGGGAGGGTTCAAGTCTGTGAATTCTGATAAGGCTGTAGACTGCGGTTTCTTTGAGCAACACCTCTGCTCGTATTGGAGCCTAATCTCGTCTAGAATCACTGCTGGCATACAACTCCACACCTCTAAATGGAGCAAGGTACTGTAAAAGCATCAGCAGCAGGATTGTACATCATCGTGATGCTTACTGTCATTCAAGAACTTGGTCCTCTTCCACATGGATTAGGCAAGCCTTAAATCGGAAATCACCGAAGTAACCGGGAAAAAAAAAAAAAATAAGTACGACAAAAGTACGAGTCCTGCCGGGCAACGCCACGGCCCTACACCCCAAGTTGACGAAGTACGTTTTTTGCTTGACGCCTTGCCTGTGATGTGACGTATTTAAATTATTATTATTATTATACGACGCTGATGCTCCTTTATACCTACCGGTCAGGGATCGCAAAAGGGGGGCCAATATTATATTGCATTGGCTCTGATAGAGAGCAGATATCGATACGGGAGTGTTCTTATTTTTATTTTATGCAGCGGCATGGCGTGACGGTGCGAATCTGGAGCTGTCGCTGTCGTCTTGATTACTTTACTTAGCAGTGGATGAGGGTGTTAATTAATTAATCAAGTCAATTATGGAGGGAGGTACGGATGCGGGGAAAGGTACGCTGAGAGAGGAAAGGTACGAGGTACTACAGGCGGGTGCGGAAAGCGAGTGAAAAGATACGCCGGGAGAGGAACAAGTGGGTGGTGGGCCGACTCGGCGATATAAGTAACTTTGGATAAGACGATGCGATACGAGGCGCAGGCAGGAGGAAGGTTGTAAGTAAATAAAATTTTATGTACACGGTGCTGCGGTGTGCATGGGCCACATGTATATTATTGGAGGATGGATTGTGTGTAGTGTGTAAGAGAAAGGCTGGGTTGAATTTTTTTGGCGATTTTTTGAGCGCGTAAAGCGTGTTTTACTTTTGGAAGCTGCCTGTCTTGCCACGCGGCGGTAGTACATCTGGTTTTAATTGGATTTCTGCGATGCGTTCTGCAGACGTCGAGTCCGGTCTGTAGTGCCAATTTTCGGGCATGCATTTCTTCCCGGACGAAGTTGAATATTTATTAAATACTTATGAGATCTGACATTACGGGTCCGTAGCACAGCCGCCCAAAATATACAATATACAGATGGCGCCGGTTCAACTCCTTGGTAAGCATGGCCAATTCTTTTTCCCGGGTCTTTTTATTCTCAGGTCTCTCACTTCTTTTAATTGTAGGCTGGGTCACATCATTAAGAACGCGGAGGCGGAGTGCGTTCTGCAGCTAATCTGCGTTTTGCGCGCGCAAATGGTTCTGTTTCGGACGTGTTATGTCGATATATATGTATCTTCCTACGGCCCGGTAGCACAGCGGTAGTGCATTTGCATATAATCCACATGTATTGTTCCAAGTATGCAGACGATGCTGGTTCGACTCTGGCCTGGGCCTTGAGGGTGAAGTGACTAAATTTTTGGCTTATCGCAATTATGGACTTGTGCCTGTCGTTATTATTATTTATACGGTCAGAGGGATGCTGATGCGGTCTGAAATCAGATGTTTTGGGAGGCGCGAGGTTACATTTGTGCGGAGAGTAGATGGGGGGGGGATGTTGTATTTTTATTTTATGCAGTGGTGCGGGGCGGGCGCCTACGCATATGCGGCTACGCAAGTCGCTTAAGTCTGCATCTAATCTGCGATTTTGCGTGCGCAAATGGTTCAAGCCGCAGCCTGTGCGTGTTTATTTTCGGATGCATTAATCACGTGGACGGGTCATATCGACATCATACTACGGCCCGGCGGCACAGCGGTATTGCATTTGCGTATCATCCGCATGTACCGTCAAGTATGCAGATGACGTCAGGTCAACTCCGGCCTGGGCCTTACCAACTTCCTCACACTTTTTCAAAGTTTTGCCCCTCCCCCCTTCCTCTTACAATCAACTTATAGTCCACGCTCAGGAATGAACGCAGTGTGTGGCAGAACGGTAGCTCAGCAATGATAATAAAATGGGACCATTGATCTTTTTCCAAGTTCATTATAATAATCTAGGGTTCAACAACTCACAATTGGCGCTGGTCGAAAAAACACTCATGATCTGCGCTGTTGTATTGCAAGTTGAACGATTAATCCATCCCGTGGCCCGTACTCTTATTGTTCGCCGTGACGCGTGGCCCGTGCATTTAGTTTTAGAATTCAAGTTCACTGTCAACCCATCTTTATCTTCGAATTCGGTTCGATCCCATATCTGAGCGATGTCCTGTCTTAATATGGCCTGGTAGCACAGTGGTAGTGCAACTGCTTTCATTGTCGTACGCATGTTGCAATGGAAATTTACTGCAGACGACGCCGGTTTGAATCCGGCCTGGGCCTTTGCCTTCTTCACACAATTTTTGGGGGTCTTTCCTTTCCTTTCTTTTATGTCGGGCATTAGGAGCACGGCTCAGAGTCCCTGCGCATTTTGCGTTTATTTTGCGTATTTTGCGCGCGTTTATTTTCGGAAGCTGAATTACTCACATGTCTAATTCACTACGGCCCGGTGGCACAGTGGTTGTGCATCTGCATGTAATGAAACTCCCATAAAGACTCTATGCAGGCGACGCTGGTTCGACTCTAGACTCGAGCCAGTAGCGATTTTTTCTAAGAACGATGACAGTCGATCAATCCGTGATTAAAATAGCGACTGGAATAATTTAACCGTTGCCTAGTACGGTCGGGGATTGCCGAGAATAATAAAATTGTCTTAGCCAAATTTTCGACGACCTCAGGACAAAGTTGTCCGTTCCACAAATCTAAGCCGGCAGTTCTTTAGAGTTCAGAATTCTAAGGTATGTGATGTTTTTCGATTTTTAATTACGTTAGAGCCCAACGCGTAATAAGGACTTTTGTCAGTTAGGGGCTGTATACTCACACACCCCTTCTGGACTCTCTTATGATAGTTAAACACCTTATAAATGACTCTGATGTATATTACATCCCTCCACTCGCATCCAAACGGCGCCAGAAGGCCCCAAGAGCCCCCACTTCTTGTCGTTAATCCTGAAGGGACATTCAGCGTGCCTCCTAGGTGTCCTGGTGGGCCCCCACTTCACCTACAAGACACCCCTGGGACTATTATACCATAGAGCGAGTGAATTATCTTACCACTATGTACTCTCCTCACCTCTGGACCGCAGAATGTGCGCCACAGGCAGATGAGGGGAGTGGCACAGCCACTTTTCACGTGTCTCCCGGTAAACGCCGAGTGGGCAAAGAATGCTGATTTATGGGATGAGCGGCACACTCCTCAGAAATTTGAAAACATCACGTTTCTTAGAATTTTGAGCTCGACACAAGTGCCGGTTCAATTGTGCAAAACGGAGAACTTTGTCCTGGGCTCGTCGAAATTTTGGCAGAGTTATTTTATTATTCTCGGCAATCTCCGACCATACTTGGTTACGGTTAAATGATTCCAGTCGCTACATCTTTGATCAAACGATTATCTTTGCTCATTTTACAGTAGCGACTGGTTCGAGTCTAGTTCGACTCTGGCCTGGGCCTTGAGTTGATGAAGTACGTTTTTGCTTGACGCTTTGCCGGTGATGTACATGCTCTTGTATACCTACCGGTCAGAGATCAGATGTTTTGGGAGGCATGAGGGGGGTTAATATTATATTCGTCGAGAGTAGATATCGATGCGGGAGCACAAAGCGTTTAAATTTGTATTTTATTTTTATGCAGCGGCATGGCGTGGCGGTGCAGATCCGGAGCTGTCGCTGTCGTCTTTGATTACTTATACTTAGAAGCAGTGGATGATGAGGGTGTTAATTAATGAATTAAGTCAATTATGGAGGGCTGGAAAGGTACGGCTGGAAAGGTACTGGGTAAGGAACGCCAACACCACAGTATGGCAGTACGATGCATCAGGACCGCTAATTAGCAATGTGATCACATTACAAAAACACCGCTAATTAGCGATGTGCCTGATATATCAAGCTAGAGGACACTCTCAATCTGGACAGAAGCCATCAGGCCACTGATTTCATGTGCCGCCACTGTGCTGCACAATGATCACGACTGTCCGGATTTGGAACACAACGATCAAGGTACTCTCAGCGCCGCCGCGAACGATGTGCATGAAATGTGCTTGAAATTTTATGAAATAAATCAGAGCTGGAGGGCTCACACATCCCATGTCATAATTAAATGACGAACTCCCGCGGAATGGCTCAAAAATCGAGTTTAGCATGAAAGTTCCAAAAAGTCGCCGTTGCTTGCGCCCGGCGTTTGTACAGGGGTAGACGGACTGCATGGCGTATCGTAACAAGCCCCGAAGTGTTGGATTAGGAGGGCGCGGGCTCAGGTGTGCCCTGACACAGGTTTCAATTCAGGGACGAGCACGGGACTGGTACACGGATAAGCCTGAGCCTGTCGCTTGCGCCGGAGATGACCGAGGAGCTGCGCGTGAGGCAGTTATAAATTCTGGACCTAATGAAGCATGTGTATTCTAGCAAGGGCGGGGGTTGTTACTGAGACGTCAGAGGTGGCGCTTTTGATGCCTGAATTGCGCGCGCGGCAGGGGCCGGTCCGATTTCATCCTCAAATGTGAGTCCGGATGCGGAGGATTGGTCTGGGTGGATGTCGGCCCGTGCACGGGAACAGCGCTACCACGGCTGCGACTCGTCGGAGAAATCGCAGTGCTGGCAGTCGGGCATTGCGAGACGGAGGTGCCCACACTGACAGCGACAGTCCACGGCTCAACGAGAAGGGGCAGGTGAATATTGGCTTGGTGGAGGAGCGCAAGTGGAATGCTGATATTGGCCAGCCGGAGCGCAGAGGAAGAAAAATGGTATCGGTGAAGAACTAGCAGCGGTGGTGTGCTCCAGAATAGGGCGGCATACAAGAACAGATAGGATGCGGGGCCCAGAAAGAGGCGGAAGTCCAGAGGATACATTGGCGCAGGCAGTGCGGGAGCGCCGTCGGCACTGCACTTCCATCGGGACAAATGGTGCCTGCTGGGTATGGGGTCACAGTAGAAGAGAGAAGAAAAATCAGTACGAAATTGGGGCCTGACGGGCTTCATAAAGAACCTTAAAACGGTGCCGTAGCCTCCCTCCAATGAGACACAGACCTGCTTGGACCAGCTTTGAAAATAAGCAGAAATTGCGACGAGGAGCGGATAATTTCGAGGACAAAAAGAGGAAAAGCATTCTGAAAAATAGTCCACTCATTTTCTGTGCAGAAGAAACATCTGGATGGGGTGAGAGACGTATTGTCGTGGAGTCGCGAAGAGAGTGTCACGCCGTGACCCGATCACCCGCGCTAGGTCAGGAAAACAGAATACATCGTAGGCTCGTCCCCATCCGGAACTGGTCGGGTGATCACGGATCAAAGATCCTCGCTGATGCTCGTTACCAAGAGGACTCAGATCGGGCGATCGGGGACACAGATCAACACACGTGACGACCCTCCCCCCCCCAAATCGGGAAACACCATCAATTTCTCTTAGTGCCACTATGAGCCACTACGTCGACTCAGTACTTGCGGTCTTAGTTCTAAAACCTTTTATTACATATATAGGGACCATATATCCTCTTTCCTATTCCTTCACACTCGAAAACCCACCTACTTGTCTTAACACCAAAGCGCGTGACCAAAATGACGTAGTTTGGCTTGAGACCATTTTTTTATTTTCCTGCCATATTATGCATAGGGATATATTATCTACTGTCCAGATGGTGTCCAGATGGTGTCCAATATGGCTCTCCCCACTGGAAATGCATGTTTTGCAGCGGATTTGCTACAATGGCACATGCACGTGAAGTTGCCATCACTTCGCCACGTTGTTTGATCTGTGTCCCCGATCACCCGATCTGAGTCCTCTTGCTCGTTACTCCCAGTACCGGCTGGGCTCCCTTGTCGCGTGTTTCAGTGATGAGTTTTTCCCCTGCCATTTCAGACGTCCGACTTGGTCGAAAAACATCGAAAACACCCCCAAAAGTGTCCCAAAGTGTCTTACTGAAAGATGAATGGTTTTTAATTCTCTATCAGTTGAGCCAAAGTTGTTTTTTGGGTGAAAATGGACAAAACCAAGGCCAGGAAAAATATCCCAGAGACAAGGAATGCTGAGAGGCACTCTAAGTGTGTTTTAGAAGCTTTAACTAGGCAGAGAAAGGTGTAGATGGAGCCGCAGACCATATATTGTGGGCGGAATCAGTGATTTGATCCAGCCTGAGGAGTGCTTCTAAATATATCTATTTCACCCAAAAAACAAATTTTGCTCATCGGATAGAGAATTCAAAACGGTTCATCTTTCACTAAGGGAGTTGGGGACACTTTTTGGCATATTTTCGATGTTTTTTGGTGAAGTCAAGCCTCTGAAATGGCGGGGGCAACGACGATCACCAAAAGATGCGACAAGTCGGCCCAGTCCGTTGGCAGGATGACCGTCTTGTTTGTATTTGCTCTGATGTTGGCCGTGTTTGCCCTCCGTCCATATCCGTCCCTTCGCCCGAGCCTCGCTCGGTCTTCGTCCGCCAACGGACTGGTTCGCGAGTCTAAATACATCGTTGTATGGGAGATTCAGGCACTTTAAACAAATCCTGAGTCGACAGAAACTGTTTAATTATGGATCCAAGTTGACCTGGATCAAGCTTGGGGCAAAACAAGTGTACTGAAAAATCAGGAAAACTGAAAACAGTGGCGATGGGGGCCAATAAGTCTTGGTATTCTAGTTCTAGCATTATGAAAAGTGTCAGGGGATTTAACCAAATGCCACAATACCCAAGTTTTAGCAACGGAAGGTTGTATTGAAACAAGTGTACAAAAGGTGCGTGCTTACAAGCACAATCTCGGTTTAGGAGCTGAGTGGTGCCCCGACGCAATTCCTCTACTCCGGTCGGAATTCTTTCTTTTATTGTTGACGGCTCAAGAACCTGTCAGAAAGTGTTCGACCATCTACTGTATTCATTTATTCATACTCTCGTAGCACCAGAAGAGTTCAACAAGCAATGTATTCCTCATGCTGCATTATCACCGTATCGGGAAAATGTGCAACGTATCCATTCGATGAATATGTGAGCTGTAAGATGCAGGTAATTCACTCATTTGGATGTTGGACAAGGTAGAAAAAAAGCAATCAGTGGCTGGAAATGCAGGGCTCGATGGATGAACGGAGTTTTAGGCAAATGTGCGGGACGGGCAAATAAGTTTTTTTTTTCCAATTTAATATGCAGTAGACTCCGCCGCAGGTGAGAGAATTAAAAGCAGGGGTGCTTAAAGTTTCAAACGAGAATCTACGCGCAATATCGGCCTGCGGAAGCGGCGGAAAAGCCGCAGAAGCTCGGTTTCTGAAAATTGAGAAATGAGGTGCATGGAGCGAGCCGGGGCATGGGCAAGTAGATAAATACTCTGGGGTAGGCCATAATTACCACCAGTGTTCAGAGGAAGCTGCAACGGTACACCGAAGCATCAGGAAGCAGTAGAACCGAGTTTTTTCTGCAAATCTGTTATTGTGGCGCGGGAGCAGACATGGGCCCAGAAACAGGCCAGAACAGAGTCGAATTGGGTCCATCACATGTCAGTTAATGTGTTCCTCGATGCGTAAATTGCTGGAAGCGCAAGGAAAAAAGCACGGGCCAGTTTTCTGCGCCTAAATAGAGATTTCGACGGTGATGAGTGAGCAAGGACCAGGAGAAGAGAACAAGGTGTCTAGGATTATATGAGATCTTCGAGGGTAGAGATATAATCTACAGGCATAAGACCAAGCATGAAGCGCAATAACCAAAAAAGCGCGGGAATTTCACAATACGAATAACAGGGCGGGGATCCACGGTGCTGGCTATTAGACCTTTAAGCTAGCTAGAATGCATAGCGGAGTTATTTCTGTGGCCAATAGGAACGGTCTGGAGCGGGGCCGACGCGGCGGGCGCGAATTTGCGTGAACAGGAGCGAGGTTTACCAGCGCCGCAGGGGGACAGGGAGCGCGTGGGAACGGGCAGGAAAGCGCAATTCATCAAGTTTGGATGTATTTGGAGAGACCTAGACAAAGATACCGGGAGGCAGGCAGCAAGTAGCGCGGTGAGAACTAAATCGCGGTGGTGCGAGGACGAGACATGATGGGATCATGCACGTGTTCCCATCATCCGCATTTGGGCAGGCGGGAAAGCGCCATCGCGCCCTGAGTGCGCCATCAAAACTGCGGACAACGACGCCGCTATGCGGCGCAAGTGGGCGTGATCAAAATGGGTGATGTGGGTAGCTGATATATCAGAGCACATCGCTAATTAGCGGTGTTTTTGTATCGTGAACACATCGCTAGTTAGAAGTCTGTGATACATCAAATCACCATATACGCCTGACGCCAAAGATAAGCCGGGTGGTATAGTAGAACGTCGACGTCATACGAGACAGTTGGGACTTTCGGCAATAAAACTTCGGATAAGATGATGCGATACGAGGCGCACGGGATCGGCTGGGCAGGAGGTGCAATTTAGTAGTGCATGTGCTGCAGATTCCAGACGAAGCCGGTTGGACTCCGGCCTAAGGGCGACCATTTTTTTTGAGGGCCTTTCCTTTAATAATGGTTAAGAACGTGGCTCAGAGGCGGAGTACGTCTGCGTCTAGTTAGATGCGAAGTGCGTCTGCATCTAATCTGCGATTTTCGTGCACGCAAAATAGTGGTTCAAGCCGCAGCCTGTGCGTTTTATTCTGATTCAATTACTCACGTGGCAGTTTCATTATGGCCCGGTGGCACAGTGGTAGTGCATCTGCTGTGTATCCGCGACTGAAAGAAAACGTATGCAGACGATGCTGGTTCGAGTCCGGCTTGGGCCTTCAAAAAGAAGTCCAGTTCTTTTTTGCTTGGCGCCTTGCTGGTGATGTGTACACTCTTTTATACCTGTTATTATTATTTATACGGTCGCTTCGAAGCTGATGTGGTCTGGAATCAGATGTTTTGGGAGGCGTGAAGTTACATTTGTGCAGAGGGGAATGTTGTATTTTATTTTATGCAAGTGGTGCGAAGCGGGCATAGGCGGGTACGCAAGATGTTTAAGGCCGCATCTAATTTGCGATTTTGCGCGCGCAAATGGTAGGTTCAAGCTCGCAGCTTGTGCGTTTTTATTTTCGGGCGTCATTACTCACGTGTCATGTCAATATCAGTATCTTACTACGGCCTGGTGGCACAGTGGTAGTGCATCTGCATAAAATTGGACGAAGCGATAATAGTATGCAGATGATGCTGGTTCGAGTCCAGCCTGGGCCCTACTCTTTTGGAGTTGTCTTTTTCTTGTACATACATTTTGTTTTGGTTTAATCACTCCTATCGTGTTATTTTTTAGTAAGGCCCAGTGGCACAGTGGTAGTGCATCTGCATAAAGTGAAATTGAATGGGGAAACAGTATGCAGACGACGTCGGTTCGAGTCCGGCCTGGGCCTTGTTGGTGTTATGCAAAATTTTTCTTGTACGTGCATTTTCTTTTGGTTCAATTACCTTCTCTCGTGTCATGTCGATAATCTTACTACGGCCTGGTGGCACAGCGGTAGTGCATCTGCATCTAATATAGATAGCTGCCAAAACTCTCTGCAGACGACGCTGGTTCGAGTCCAGCCTGGGCCTTATAAATTTGATGAAGAATTCTTTTTTGCTTGACACTTTGCGGGTGATGCGCATGCTCTTTTACACAATATATTATTGCAGGCTAGGGTCGTATCATTAAGAACGGAGGCGGAGTGCGTTCTGCGATTCTGTGCGCGCGTAAATGGTTCAATGCGCGTTTTTATTTTCGGATGTTAATATTACTCACGTGTTGTCAGGGTCGATATTTTGCTATAGTACGGCCCGGTGGCACAGTGGTAGTGCGTCTACATACAATATATAGAAATGAGTCATGACCAGACAACGCCGGTTCGAGTCCGGCCTGGGCCCTATTCTTCAAGGAGATCCTTTTATTTGTACGGGCATTTTCTTTGGTTTAGCTACTGCTATCATGTCGTATTGGTCGATATCCTACTGACGGCCCGGTGGCACAGCGGTAGTGCTTCTGCATACAATATTGCTAATTAAAATGACAAAATAGTATGCAGACGACGTTGGTTCGGGTCCGGCCTGGGCCTTACCGAGGTATGCGGTTTTTTTTGCTTGACACCTTGCGGGTGATGTTCATGCTCTTTTATACGACGCTAATGCTCTTTTATACCTACATCAGAAGTTTTGGGAGGCACGAAGGGGACGTTAATATTATATTCATAGAGAGTAGATATCGACAGAAGCGGAGAAGCGTTTGTATATTTTATTTTAGGCGTGACGCCATGCCGCGGCATGGCGTGATGCGGATCCGGAGCTGTCGCCATTACTTTACTTAGCAGTGGCTGGGAGGGTGTTAATTAATTTTAATCAAGTCCATTATGGAGGACGAGGTACGGATGGAAAGGTACTAGGTGAGGAACGCCAAAAGATAAGGCGGGTGGTGTTGTAGAACGTCGACGTCGTACGAGACAGTTGGGACGATTTTCGGCGATAAAACTTCGGATAAGAGGATGCGATACGCGGTGCACGGGACCGGATAGCGGAAATGCTCGGGTCCGGGGGTGGTGGATGCAAGGTGGAATGCTGTAAACAAGCTGTAAATCCTATGTACACGGTGCTGCGGCCCTCGGCCGAGCCTTGGCACGACTGCGGGTGCGGGCATAGTGCGCCGTCCGCACACAGCTCCCCGTACAGCACGCGCTTCCGTCTCCGGCGACGCAGGAAGCTTCAAGTAATAATGCAAATGTGACGAGAGGCAACGAGCTCATCGAGAGCGAGCACACGACCTTAGGCGTGTAATCCTCGGACAGATCGGCAGTGGCTGACGCAATATCGCGGAATAATCGAAGAAGAGGCCGGTCAAATGCGGGTACCTGCCATCATGGATACTCGATTCGTGATGGGGTGTCGGGGTGACGTGCGCCATGTGGCGCTGCGCAATTGGTTTGTGGATTGTATTATGCCGAATAATGAACGAGGTGGCAGGCAGGGAGGGACGCCACGCAGGCAGCGACGACGGACGGTGGACGCAAGGAGGCTTTTGTTGCGTTTTGAATTTAACTCGTGGTTGCACGACAGGATAAGCGGACAATTGATGTAAAATGAATCCGGATCAGGGCCGGGGAGCAACGGCCGTGTGGTATATAATTTGCGGTGTGCTGTTCTTGTTGGCCTGTTGTCGTTGTCCCCAGTCAACTCACCCCAGCTGCAGGTCGAGATGTTCATCCTCCCCGCACACGCCCACCCGCGCTTCGCCGCGCTGCCGCACACCCCGGCCGCAGCCTACGCAAAGTACCTCGACCTCCTCCCCGCATCACCGCAGAACTCCCTGCTGCGTGTGCCCTCCCTCCACCTCGTCCTCACAGTCGTCGCAACCCTCGCTCTCCTTGCCGCAATCCGCGCAGTCCTCTCGCCTCTCCTCTCTGCCAGGAAGGGCCTGCAGACGCCCGTCCAGCTCGAGAAGCAGAGTGCCACGTCACCACCCACCCCGGCGTCAAAACCCCGCCGCTCCTGGCTCCCCCTGGCCCTTTCGTGGGAGACCCTTCCCCTCGCCGCAACGCTCCCCATTACGCTCTCGCCCCCGCCGCCGCCCGCAATGCGCGGCCGCCACGTCTACCGCGGCGGTCGCGGCGTCGGCCTCACCCGCCCCGAGGCCGCCCGTGTCCGCGCCGTCGCACCCGTCGAGTGCCCCCCCGCTGCGATATACGAGTCCCAGACGCCCGTGTCCATGGCTAAGATGATCATGAGCCGCCATGTGCGTTGTTTCCCTCTTTGTCTTTCTTACTCTTATCCTGATACGTTTATAAAGACATTCCGCCGCCCCTCCCCCGCGCCGCGCCGCGCCTCCTCCCTGCAGCACCAACAACACTCGCGCCCGCCATCGCCCCCGCTCGCGGGCAATGGCCGCTCTGTGTCGCTGTGAGGCCTCTCGCGTAGCGAGGGGCCGTCGCCTCTTCCGCCGCCGACTAGCAGCGGCATGAGAGGCATAGAAGGGAGGAAGCAAAACCGCAATGTACCACCACCATACTCATTATCATCATCCCATCATCGCATCGGGCAGGACGGCTCGTTCATCTATCATCCAGCATCATATCATCCCTTATCTATGTGCACATGCATCTATGTGCTATCGTCGTCGATCTACATACGACACCGCATCGGAGCGCACCCACGGACTTGTTTTTATCGCCGTTATTGTTATATCTTTTGTTCATCACCCATTCTTCTTATTCATGTCCCATACGCATTTATTTCTTTGCACGTCACCCGCACACATCGCACCTTACTATACGCGATGCGCGCTTTTTATTACCCTTGTTATCCCACCCTTGCTTGTTACCCCACCCCTTTATACCTCGACCAACCACCCTTCGCTTGCTAGCCGCTACGCTTCGTTTTGTGACGCGGCTACGTCTGCGACGCAGCCTGCGCGTCGCCTATACGCTTCCGCTCCCAGTGCACGTATGCATAGATAATGGATTGAATACGATCGGGTTTTTGCCGTCCTATGTCTTTGTGTGCGTTTGAATCTATTGCAAGTCTAAGATAAGTTGTATAGAGTAATGTGAGGGCCCCTCAATACACGTCATGCGTCACCCTGAATCTGCTCCCCCAAAAAAAGAGTAAAAAAAAAAAAAACAGTGGTATTTGCCAATGGCCCAGGCTGGAGTCGAACCAACGTCGTCTGCATATTACAAATCCTTTACATCCTAATTAAAGCAGATGCAGAGCCGTTCTGCCACTAGGCCATGACCCTGTCTCGGTTACCCAGACGTTTCGGAATGATCCGGCGAAGTTCGAATAAATCGAAGAAAAGAAGACGCCAGATCATTCCTCAACGTCTGGGGTAGTTGGTATAGAAACACCCTCCATCGAGTCACACTCTGAGTGTCACGCTTGCGCCGATTTAATGTTCTACTCAACCTAAGGCCTCCTTGGACCCCTCAATTGTCTGCAGAATTACTGTACTATAGTTACCAGATATATATGGGTAGCTAAATAATTTTATTTTAGCGTATTTAGAACGCAGGTAGGTGTATAAAGTGCAAAAACATGACATTATACAACGGTTCCTCTGCACCTCAAAAAGAGGTCAAAAAAAATGGGAAAAGTTGTCAGGCCCCACAGAATATATCTATGCATTGCTAGGAGAAGTGCAAACAGTACAATGTGGGGGGAGGAATGGAGGGATGAGATGTGTGACTCGATGGGGGGTGTTTGTATACCAAATACCCCAGACGTTGAGAACTGATCGCGGCCCAACATTTTCACATATTTATTCAAACTCCGATCGGGCCGTAGGCCCGACGGGCCGCGATCCGTTCTCTATGTCTGGGTTACCGAGACAGGCCATGACCAAAATTGCTGAGACCTGTATAAGAGATGTGGATTCAGAGCAGGAATTTTGATGGGTGCAGTTGACGAATGAAATCAGTGAAAAGTCGAGGAAGATTATGGCGGGAAATAGGCGAAGATGTAGAATCATTCTGCCGCCGAGCCGTGCTCACAAGGTGAGCTTTGGAGAATCCGAGAAGAATGTTTGAGCGAAAGAACCCAGGGAAAAAAGGATTTAAAAAAATGTTCAGCTGATGCTGATGACCCAGGCTGGAGTTGAACCAACGACATCGGCATAGGATAAAATCCATCCATTAACACTAGATGCAGATGCGGACCACTCTGCCACTGGGTCATGAACAGATGCTTTTTTGAGGATACACATCGAGGAGCTGCGCACTGCAGGCATTTTTCGTGAAGGATTTATTGTACTGATTGAAAACAATTTTAATAAATCACACCAGGCCACGGGCCACGGCCCAGGCCGGAGTTGAACCGGCGACGTCTAAATTAAATACATGCACATTAGAGATGTCAAAGTCAACGAGATGCAGATGCAGAACCGCTCTGCCACTGCGCTGTGATGCCCATTTCTTGTCTTGATGAGGTCTATTTTCGGGATGTGAAGCCCAGCAGTTTGGTTTGGAAAGCAGCAGATAATACATAGGTGAAGTAAAAGTACTGAACGGATAATGGAATAGGACTCCAAGAGAGCATAATTTTTTTTTCTGCATCATTGATTTAGGGCCCAGGCCGGATTCGAACCAACGTCATCTGCATATGGAATACGTAGAACACCCGAAAAGAAGCAAATGCAGAACCACTCTGCTACTGGGCCTTGATTTGTAGACTTTATATATAGATCTGACATGTGGGATATGCATGAGTAAATAAAATATACCGGTTCACACAGAAAGATTCTTGAGCTGGGATTTATTTCTTCAGCTAGGGACTGATGTTGAGCACTCAATATCAGTGCCTAGCCACGAAAATATGATCAATGTGCTCAATATTGAGCATGTTGAGCGGATTGAGAGTTAGGGAATAATAAAACGGAGTGAAAAAGAAAAGCTGAAAATTGAATGGCTTGGGCTGGAGTCGAACCAGTGTCATCTGCATAAATAAATTTATGAGCATTCGGGCAGTAAATTCAGATGCAGGAACCACTCCGCAACAATATGCAACAATATTGCTGTGGCCGAGGCCTGAGCTCAGAAAACCAAGTAACATTGAATGACTCTGAGGAGGCAGCTCATGGGGCTTGTCGGTGACTAAAAGAGCATACTCAGTGGAGGTTGAAGTTCAAAAAGAAATGTCGAGAGATTCAATAAAAGGAAACTATTTTAGACATGGCTTGGGCTGGAGCTGAGGGAGCAATGTCTCCATAAACTCAGCTAGTAAATGCAGATGCAGAAACCGCTCTGCCAAGCCTTCACACCATTACTTCGGTCCTTCCCTAAACCTGGACTCAATAGGAACAAATTAAAATTAAAAGAAAAGGTAGCTCACATTCTAGTCTGAGACTCCTGTCTCTTTATCCGGGGGTCTTCCATCACCACACAAATATTGATAGTCCGGGAACCCAAGGCGATGGTTGGAAATTGAAATCCACAAGGAAAATGATACTCTACGATGTGTGAGAGATGAGAAGAAAAAAATCCATACAACCCTATGGCTCAGGCTAGAGTCAAACCAGCCATGTCTGCATAGATCCGACCATTCCCCAACAGTTAATGCAGATGCAGAACCACTCTGCAACAGAGCCTTCATGGTATTATTTCGACCATACCCATGACTCATGAAAAATGCATGTTCTTTGCTCAGGAAAATCAAATTAAATGAGACTGCGCATACGGATCGAAGATTGGTGGCAGGAGTTTACTGTTCCTTTTCGCAGTCGAGATGACTTGAGGGTATCTGACGCACGGTTGAAAATCTACAAAGAAATTGATTGAGAAGGGGAAAGGAAAGTGACAAGATTTTATGGGGATAGCTGAGGATTGAGTCGACCACCAGCATAAAACTAAGCTAGTAAGTGCAGATGCAGGAAGCGCTCTGTCCAAAAGCCTTGATGCCACTACTATGGTCATTCGAAGCTCTAGCCTACGAAAAATGCAATTTTCTGCTGAAAGTCCTTCATTCAACTCTGAGAATTACCCTCCTTCGGGAATTCCCTGCCCAAGAGCCATGGTTGGAAATTAGTTTGAGACTGAGAGAAAAGGATACTGTGATTCATTTTGGATGTATGTAGAACAGACTCACCACTTGTTCGCATCAGCTACAATAAATTCCGAACAAGCAGAATAGCAGGCAAAATCAATTTAATGGTTGGCAGATATATATATCTGGACAACAGCGGCCTGCGTTTGAACTCGGGCTTCGGCCACATGACATACTCCATGTCATTGCACCATGTTGCTTTCATTCCACATTCTGGACCTGATTTCAATTACAATATGAAATTTTGTTAAAAAGAGGAAGGTAATCTGGAAGATATAGGGCTAAATGGAGGGGTTTCTCTTTCATCGGCATCAGAAGGTAGTTGGTGACTGGACAGAGTCGAGGATTTTATGTGTAATTTTATGGAATGACTTGGAGAAGACAGGGTTGAGCTATGTAGTACATCCGTATCGGTCCGCTATACGCTCTCACTGCTGTTTAGCCAATTCCCCAAGGGCACACGAATCTCTGGCACCAATGTAGCTTTCAACCCCGGCGTAGTCTGAATTTAACAAAAATAATAAGTATTGCGCACGGGGGTCCCATAAGCTCACTCACCTCCACTGTGGTACCCAGGGCACGAACCTGGCCGCTGCATCTCGCACGTGGCGGCTGCACCCGATCCAACCTCTTCGCCAGAGATCCAGCTCCCATGCAATCGGCAAAAATATCCGCGGTCACAAGGACACTTCAGGGCTCCCCATTGTTGGTATTCAACTGCCCAGGCATCGTGCGCGTCTTTCATGCTACCACTAGCCGAATCAGGCTCAGGGCGAGGCAGGACACGGAGGCTGGGAAACATCTGGCGGATGTTGGCTTTGGTGGCTTTGCACGTGCGCGGACACTTCAGATATGTCGTTGGTGAGTGTTGATCACGAAATACTAGATAGTTGTAATCCCAGATACGAACCGGTTGGGGTTGTGTCGCGCGTTCATTGTCTTGGACTTCAATGTGTCCCGCATGTTCTGAGCCGCAGTGACAACTTGCCATACTGGAGCTTGTAGGAAGTCAAAACGGAAGTATCGCACTTATATATTTGCTCATAGGACGAGCTCGTAATGCTGACCTCAACAAAGATCCGCAACGGGCCCGTCGGGTATCTACGGATGCCGGATTTGGCGAATATTTCCGTTTCGTTCAGCCAAGGATTTCATAAAACTTTGTTTTACGTGAGACTACCGATATGAATGAGCGCAACAAATGGAACCTCCTCAGCGGCATGCACCCGCAGCCCAAGACCTGGCGGCGCGTCGGACGCGCTGCCGCCTCCAACTGCGTGCACTTTAACGCGAGGCGCACAGCCAACTCGGGGATGGAACAGTGAGGGCGGGGGCTGGCCTTTTTGCGGCGAGTGACCTTTCGGACGCACTGCTGCTTGTTTTCTCTCCGCCTCGCCGCCTTTCCGCTGCGGGTGCCCTCCCTCCGTCTCGCCCTCGCCGTCCTCGCAGCAATCCGCGCAGTCCTCTCGCCCCTCCTCTCCTCCAAGAAGCGCCTGCAGACGCCTGTCCAGATCGAGAACTTCAGAGTGCCACATCACCGCCCCACGGCGTCCAAACCCCGCCGTTCCTGGCTCTCCCTGGCCCTCTCGTGGGAGACCCTCCCCCTCACCGGCTCCCCATCACGCTCTCTCCCCCGCCGCCGCCCGCAATGCGCGGCCGCCACGTCTACCGCGGCGGCCGCGGTGTCGGCCTCATCCGCCTCGAGGCCGCCCACGTCCGCGCAGTCGCACCCGTCGAGTGCCCCCCCGCTGCGATATACGAGTCCCAAACGCCCGTGTCCATGGCTAAGATGATCATGAGTCGCCATGTGCGTTGTCTCCCTCCTTCCCTCTTTGAGTGCTTTCCTGACAAAGATGATTTGCACACAAACATTCCGCCGCCCCTCCCCCGCGCCGCGCCGCGCCTCCTCCCTGCAGCACCAACAACACTCGCGCCCGCCATCGCCCCCGCTCGCGGGAAATGGCCGCTCTGTGTCGCTGTGAGGCCTCTCGCGTAGCGAGGGGCCGTCGCCTCTTCCGCCGCCGACTAGCAGCGGCGCGAGGGGCATAGAAGGGAGAAAGCAATACCGCAATGTACCACCACCATACTCATCATCATCATCCCATCATCCCATCGGGCAGGACGGCTCGTATCTATCATCCAGCATCTATATCATCCTTATCTATGTACACATGCATCTATGTGCTATCGTCGTCGATCTACATACGACACCGCACTGTCGGAGCGCACCCACGGACTTGTTTTTATCGCCGTTATTGTTATATCTTTTGTTCTCCACCCCATTCTTATTTCATGTCCCATACGCATTTATTTCTTTGCACGTCACCCGCACACATCGCACCTTACTATACGCGATGTGGGCTTTTTATTACCCTTGTTACCCCACCTTGTTACCCTACCCGTTATACCTCGCCAACCACCCTTCGCTTGCTAGCCGCTACGCTTCGTTTTGTGACGCGGCTACGTCTGCGACGCAGCCTGCGCGTCGCCTATACGCTTCCGCTCCCAGTGCACGTATGCATAGATAATGGATTGAATACGATCGGGTTTTTTGCCGTCCTATGTCTTGGTATGCGTTTGAATCTAAGGATTGTAAGACAAGACGTAGAGAGTAATGTGAGATGAAAGAGTGCCCGTCATGTAAAAGAAAAAAGAAAAAAAAAAGACGAAATAAAACAAACTAGGAATAGTCTAATGGCCTAGGCTGGAGTCGAACCAATGTCGTCTGCGGACTACAGGAGGAAGAAATCATAATTAGAAACAGATGCAGAGCCGTTCTGGCACTAAGCCATGGCTAAAATTGCTTTGTGGGATCTGAGACCTGTATAAGAAGATGTGCATTCAGAGCAGGAATTGATGGGTGCAGTTGACGAACGAAATCGGTGAAAAGTCGAGGAAGATTATGACAGGAAATAAGCACAGATGCAGAATCATTCTGCCCCCGAGCCGTGCTCACAAGGTGAGCTTTGGAGAATCCGAGAAGAATTTTTGAGCGAAAGAACCCACGGAGAAAAGGATTAAAAAACTCTTCAAATGATGCTGATGACCCAGGCTGGAGTTGAACCAACGACATCGGCATAGGATAAAATTCGTCCACTAACACTAGATGCAGATGCAGACCACTCTGCCACTGGGTCACAAACAGATGCTTTTTTGCGGATACACATCGAGGAGCTGCGCACTGCAGGCATTTTTCGTGAAGGATTTACTGTACTGATTGAAAACAATTTTAAAAAATCACACCAGGCCACGGGCCACGGCCCAGGCCAGAGTTGAACTGGCGACGTCTGCATACGTGTACCTTACAAGATGTTAACAAGATGCAGATGCAGAGCCGCTCTACTACTGCGCCGTGATCCCCATTTCTTGTCTTGATGAGGTGTATTTTCGGGATGTGATGCCCGGCAGTTTGGTTTGGAAAGCAGCAGATAATACATAGGTGAAGTAAAAGTACTGAACGGATAATGGAATAGGGCTCCAAGAGAACATAAAAAAAACTTCTGCATCATTGATTTAGGGCCTAGCACTGGTTGAGAATTTCATATTTTTCACTGAGTTTTTTAGGGAAAAACTTCCTTTATTTTTCACACCTTTTTCACTTGGAATGTAGCTGAAACTTTTATAAAATTTTCAGTACTTTTGTGACTTTACTGAAGAAGTTTTTGCCTTTTTCACAAAAATACTGAAAAAGTTATAAATATTTCAGTCACATTTCAGTGAAAAAACTGTGAAAAATAAAATAAGTTTTTCACCCCAAAACTCAGTGAAAAAATTGAAATGCTCAACCAGTGTAGGCCGGATTCGAACCAACGTCATCTGCATATGGAATACGTAGAACACCCGAAAAGAAGCAGATGCAGAACCACTCTACTACTGGGCCTTGATTTGTAGGCTTTATATATAGATCTGACATGTGGGATATGCATGAGTAAATAAAATATACCGGTTCACACAGAAAGATTCTAGAGCTGGGATTTATTTCTTGAGCTAGGGACTGATGTTGAGCAGTGCCTAGCCACGAAAATCTGATCAATGTGCTCAATATTGAGCATGTTGAGCCGATTGAGAGTTAGACAAGAAGAAAACGGAGTGAAAAAAAAAGCTGAAAATTGAATGGCTTGGGCTGGAGTCGAACCAGTGTCATCTGCATAAATAAATTTATGAGCATTCGGGCAGTAAATTCAGATGCAGGAACCGCTCCGCAACGATATTGTTTCGGCCGAGACCCGAGCTCAGAACATCAAGTAAACATTGAATGACTCTGAGGAGGTAGCTCATGGGGCTTGTCGGAGTCAAAAAGAACATGTTCAGTGGAGGTTGAAGTTTAAGATGAAGGTTGAGAGATTCGGCATGGCTTGGGCTGGAGTTGAACCAGCGATGTTCTGCATAAGTCTTCTGGACAAACCAAGCAAATTCAGATACAGAAACCGCTCCGCCACCAAGCCTTCAGGCTATCATTTTAATTATTCCCTAACCTCGGAACTCAACTAGTAGGAACCAAAAAAAAAATCAAGGTAACTCCCTCATTCCAGTCTGAGACTCCCGTCTCTTTCTTCGGGGACCTTCTCGGTTATTAATAATCCGGACATCGAAGGCGACAGTGACTATATGATGTGTGAGAGATGAGGGGAAAAAAACATACCCTATGGCTCGGGCTGGAGTCGAGCCAGGGATATCTGCATAAATCATCTGAACAAAGCAAGTAAATGCGGATGCAGAAACCGCTCTGCAACCAAGCCTTCATGCTATCGTTTCGGTCATTCCATAAGCTCAGAGCTCAACAGGAATCAAAATAAAATAAAATAATCAAGGTAGCTCCCTATTTCCAGTCTGAGAGACCTTGATCTCCCTTCGGGAAACATTGTCACAACACAAGGGAAGGCAATTCATGAATAGTCTGGGTATCCAGGACGAGATTGGAAAATTGAAATCCGCGAGGAAAAATCGTGGGAGATGCAGACAGCTTGTTTTGAATCAAGGTACTGCTCTATCAGCGTTGGTGTGATTTTTGCTCCTCCCACCAAATTTCCTTCCCCACTCAGCCAAGTTCAAAATGCAGCAATAAAAGCAATATGGTGTAATTCTGCACACGGGTGTTTCTTGTGCCGCACCATATGTGGATCAAACATGTGCGTCTGTATAAATAATTTTTTGAACCAGCGATGTCTCCATAAACTCAGCTAGTAAATGCAGATGCGGAAACCACTCTGTAACCTAGCCTTCACAATTACTTCGGTCCTTCCCTAAACCTGGACTCAACAGGAAGAAAATAAAAAAATAAAAAATAAAAAAAAGGTAGCTCTCATTCCAGTCTGTGATTCCCGTCTCTTTTTCCGGGGGTCTTCCATCATCACCCAAATATTGATAATCCGGGAATTCAAGACGATGGTTGGAAATTGAAATCCACAACGAAAATGATACTCTACAATGTGTGAGAGATGAGAAAGAAAAACATACCTCAGTACCCCTATAGCTCGGGCTGGAGTCGAACCAGTCATGTCTGCACATTCCGACCATTCCCCAACATTTAATGAAGATGCAGAACTACTCTGCAACGGAGCCTTCACGGTATTATTTTGGCCATACCCAGGACTCCTGAAAAATGCATGTTCTTTCCTCAGGAAAATTCAAAATTAATGAGACCCTGTGCATACGGATCGAAGAATTGGTGGCAGGAGTTTGATGTTCCTTTTCGCAGTCGAGATGACTTGATAGCATCTGATGCACGGTTGAAAATCTACAAAGAAATTGATTGAGAAGGGGAAAGAAAAGCGACAAAATTTATGGGGATGGCTGAGAATGGAGTTGACTACCTGTATAAAACTAAGCTAGTAAGTGCAGATGCAGGAACCGCTCTGCCCCAAATCCTTGATGATACTACTACGGTCGTTCGAAGCTCTAGCTTACGAAAAAAATCAAATTTCTGGTGAAAGTCCTTCATTCAACTCTGAGAATCACCCTCCTTCTTCGGGAATTCCATGCTCAAGAGCAGTGGGCGGAAATTGGTGTCAGGTTGGATGTATGTAAAATGGAATCACTGGTTGTTCGCATCGGCCGAGATAAATTCCGAACAAGCAGAGTGGCAGGCAAACTCAATTTAGTGGTTGGCAAATATACATATCTGGACAACAGCGGCCTGGGTTCGAACTCGGGGTTCGGCCGCATGACATACTCCGTGTCGTTGCACGATGTTGCTTTCATCCCACATTCCGGACCTAATTTCAATTGCAGTGTAGAATTCTGTTAAAAAGGGGAAAGTAATCTGGAAGATGCAGGGCTGAATGGAGGTTTTTTTTTTTTCCACCGGCACAAGAAGCGCCCCGTGTGTATAATATCCTAGTTGGTGACTAGACAGAGTCGAGGATTTTATGTGTAATTTTGTGGAATGATTTGGAGACAGGGTTGAGCCATGTAGTACATCCGTATCTGTCTGCTATCAGCTCTCACTACTGCTTAGCCAATTCCCCAAGGGCACACGAATCTCTGGCACCAATATAGCTCTCAACCCCGGTGTAGTCTGAATTTAACAAAATCGTAAGTGTTGCGCATGGGGGTCCCATAAGCTCACTCACCGTCCACTGTGGTACCCAGGGCACGACCCAGGCCGCTGCATCTCGCACGTGGCGGCTGCACCGGATCCAACCTCTTCGCCAGAGATCCAGCTTCCATGCAATCGGTAAAAATACCCGCGGCCACAAGGACACTTCAGAGCTCCCCACTGTTGGTATTCCACCGCCCAGGCATCGTGCGCGTCCTTCAGACTACCACTGGAAGATTCAGGCTCAGGGCGAGGGAGGACATGGAGGCCGGGAAACATCTGGCGGATGTTGGCTTTGGTGGTTTTGCACCCAGCATCTGCACACTGCGATTGATAGAAACGTGATTGGTGAGTGTTGATCACACAATACCAATCACAGATACGAACTGGTTGAGGTTGTGTCGCGCTTTTGCTGTCCTGGACTTCAAAGTGTCTCGCGTGTTCTGAGCCGTAGTGACAACTTGCCATACTGGAGCTTGTATGAAGTTAAAACGAAATTATCGCGCTTATATATGTGCTTATTGGAGCTCGTAATGCCACCAAGGTAATCCAACGAGGAAATCTTAGGTGTGAAATCAAAACGAAAGAGCCACTCGCATCATCGCGTTAACTATCTGCTTATAGGAGCTCGTAATTTTAACAAGCGAGGTACAACAAAGAAGCGAGCTTCATTTGTTAAAAGTGAGGAGAGACTAGTTCGTAATGTCGCCAGGATAATCCGATACGGGTACGCACGGATGCCAGAGAATTTACTCATCTGTATACAATTGCCGAAAAAATGTGGCGAGCATTCTGAAGTGCTCGCCACATTTTTTCGGCAATGCACAAAATGAGGATACTCGGGGATACAGCTAAGAAAAAATGATGAGGGGAAAAGAGCGAGGTCTTTTCATCCATCACTGACGGCTGGGGGAAGTCAAGAATTCTTTTTTTATTTTTCGAGTGGGGTTTTTTCTTGCTCAGCCTGGTTGGCGGATAGAACCTCTTCTCGGATCGCCGGACGATATCCTGCATCTGGACCCAGGGCGACTCAACAGATCGCACGCCCCCGCCAGGAATCTCCTGTGCCTGATTTGTTACGACATTGGATGTCTCTTGGATCCGGAGCCATGAAAGCGTGTGTAGACAAGATCAGTGTTTGTATTAAGATTGAGACTTTAATCTTTCGATCGGAATTCAATTCAATTGACTGTTGTTGCGGAAGTCTTCAAGTATATCTGTAACATAGCTATGAGAAATAAGTACCTGAGAGGGAAGAATTTACCAAATTGCATGGACCGGCTTGCCGACATTGAACGGAGTTAATTTTAGTCCTGGGTTCCTTTGTCAATCCTGTGTACTTGAGGTACACGTCATATTTGTGTTCGAAAAGAAATTCTTGGCAGCCATCACCATATAAACGAGGCTCGAAATCATCCTCAATATTTTCGCGTTTTTTTTCCTGTGCAAGAGCAAGTCGTGGATTCTCGTACAAGCCGGAAGGGAGTATTTGGTGCAGTATGCGCAGGATATCTATTTTTATGATGGTAAAAAAAACTGTAACGCTGGCCCGAATTGAATGCGAATAAAATACGAGTAATAAAAAAGGGAGCGGGTGCCTAGAATACAAGAGAATGAAATAAAAAACTTGTTTCACAACCACGCATGGCCCAGGCTGGATCTGAACCGGCGACGGTTGCATATGTATTAAGTGATTAAACACAGATGCAGACCACTCTGCCACTAGGCCATGAGTACTGAGTAGGCACTTTTCCTGATGATACACATTGGGAATGAGTTGGGCAATTTTCGTGAAGGGGATTTGTTATATTGATTGAAGTACAAACAAAAAATCACACCAGGCTACAGCCCAGGCCGAGGGCGAACCGGGGTCGTCTGCATAATGCCTCCAGTATGGCAAGTTGTCACTGTGGCTCAGAACATGCGGGACACATTGAAGTCCGGGACAGAAAACAAGCGACACATCTTCAACCGGTTCGTATCTGGGATTAGTCTTTGACATTTCTGAAGTGTGGATGTGCCGGCTGCAAAACCACCAAAGCCAACATCCGCCAGATGTTTCCCGGCCTCCGTGTCCTCCATCGCCCTGAGCCTGATTCTGCTAGTGGTAGTATGAAGGACGCGCACGATGCCTGGGAATACCAACAGTGGGGAGCCCTGAAGTGTCCGCCACGGGTACTTTTGCCGATTGCACGGAAGCTGGATCTCTGGCGAAGAGGTTGGATCGGGTGCAGCCGCCACGTGAGAGATGCAGGGGCCTGGTTCGTGCCCTGGGTACCACAGTGGAGGTGAGTGAGCTTATGGGACCCCCGTGCGCAATACTTATGATTTTGTTAAATTCAGACTACGCCGGGGTTGAGAGCTACATTGGTGCCAGAGATTCGTGTGCCCTTGGGGAATTGGCTAAGCAGTAGTGAGAGCTGATAGCGGACCGATACGGATGTACTACATAGCTCAACCCTGTCCTCTCCAAATCATTCCACAAAATTACACATAAAATCCTCGACTCTGTCTAGTCACCAACTAAAATATTATGCACACGGGACGCTTTAGTGCATGATTACACCATGCTGCTTTCATTGCCGCATTTTAAGCCCGGCTGAGTGTGAGGAAAAATAGTGGAATAAGCAAAAAAAACCACAGAGCAGTGCCCAAAGCAGTACCTTGATTCGAATAAGGACCTCGGGTTGAATCCAGTTTCTTTTGACGCAAGAAACACCCGTGTGCATCATTGCACCATTCTGCTTTCATCGCTGCATTTTGAACTCGGCTAAGTAGGGAAGGAAATAGTGGTGAGCGAAAAAAACGTGCGTGAGAAGCGCCTAAAGCAGCAGCACCTTTGATTCGAACAGGGACATCTGGTTGAATCGGTGGGCTTTCTGGCACAAGAAGCTCCTGTGTGCATCT